TTCTGGGGGCCTGGGTTGATTCCCTGGTCAAGGAACTAAGACCCCCCAAGGTGTGAAGCACAGCCAGGAAAAAAAAAAAAAAAAAAAGGATCAATCCCAGTTACTTTACTGGTGTTACTCTAGTTTTTCTCAATAACAACTTCTGCGTTATAAGGCCATCATTTATGTTTCCTATTTCCTCTTTAGCGCTGGACCTGGGCTGTAGAATTTGCTAGTCCCGGCCACGCGTGGCTACTGGGCATTTTCAACGTGACTCGTCTGCATTCGGATGTGCTGATGTGTAAAGTACAGGACAGATGTATATGGAGATAAAACTCGAACCACATCTGGAATTTGAAGTGTTCTAGCCAAATTTTAAAAAGAAGAAACAGGTGAAATTAACTTTAAGAATGTATTTTATCTAACCCAATCTTTCCAAAGTATTATCTGACCATGTATTCCATATAAAAATTGTTAATGAAGGAGGGGAAACTGACAGGTGGCCTAGGGTAATCTAGCACTTACAAGTGGAACTGTGACACCGTCTCCCACAGCCTAGCACGCTCATGAACGTGCTGTGCTCTCTTTAAGCTTCAATATTCATTTCACTGAAGCAAAACAGCCCGCTCATTAAAGTTCTGAGTATCTTATAAATTAGTGAATATGAAATACAGTATTTCCTCATCCTATAGAATGACATAAATATAAGTACACATTCCAGTGAAGAGACAGACCAAGGAGATCAACTGAATTTAAAGAGGGAGGAAACGATAGCCTCTTCTTCCCAATTCCACCTGTAAGTGATAAGGAACTGTTTAAAACTATGGTAATGGGACAAAAATGTATGTAGCCCTGGAAGATAAGAGAAGCAGTAGGGGGGCTTGTCAGGAAGCTGTCTGTCTCCTTGATTGGTGCTCCAGCCATACATACCTCATGCTGGCAACTGTGTAAGCAAATAAAATCTATATCTAGCACATTTCTATTCCAGACATTAGGACTGTTTGTGATTGGATCACATGGCGTTCTATCCAAATCTGCAGATGCATACCAATAAGGAATTTCAATTTATCTCAAAGCAAGCTTAAGGCCATTGGCAGTAGAAATTCCAGGGCCGTGGCAGCGAATGTCCACCTTCTACTAGGATGACTTCCCCTCTGACATTGTGGAAGAAAGAGAGAGCAGACCGGTACCATTTTCACCTTGCAAGAAAGGTACATGGGCTAGGAATCTATCATTTTTATTATTTTAGAGTGAACTTACGTGCCCTTGTTTGTTTGGAGACAAATGAACCACCGGATCCTGACGCATTAGTCTCCCACCGGGGCTCTCTCGGAAAGCTGGCAGTACCTTTGATACTGCTGGGAGGTGGCACGTTGGCTCTGGAATACAGAATAGGACATTCTGGTGCAGGCACTAAACAGATACTGGCACAGGTTGACAAACGAAGACGGCTTGCCATTGCACCTCTCAGTTCACTGGCCAGCAAACTCGGAATTTCAGCAAGAAGCTTGTTGAAAGTTTACACAATAGACAGCATGTCAAAAACTAAGTGGCTGATGGATAAAGCTTGCAGCTGGTGACAGTGTGTCACATCATACACATTAGCATAGCCAAGTACCACCAAACCAGAGGCCATGAACAATGCGGCAAAGTTAGGAATCAGCTTTCGGTTTGGGGGGAAAGTCTCAAATATATGGATTAAATTTATGAAATTCATTCATTGCAAAGTGTGGCTAACCTCGCTTGGTCTACATTACCTAGACAGGCATGGATGCAATCACGTGTTACTTACCATGACACTTTGGAAATATTTTACCTGTATATTCATGCTGCTCGAGGACAAAAGAATTGAAATCCTGAGGTCCTCTATAACTGTAAGCTAAGCACAACAGAAAAGACACACAGCAACTAGTTTACTTAAAACAATTGCTTCCTTTTGGACTCCGCTGGCATTCAGGATGGGGTTCAAAAGGTGAAAGGTAAGTGGCCTCTTTAACACACCTAAGAGCTCACGGCAACAATTCTGCACTTCTGCAACACCATTCCTAACACGTACAGGACTGGGCAGTGTACTCTTTGACTCTGACTCTCAACCGTATCCAAAAGCGGAGAGGCAGGAAAACAAACTGCACTGAGATAAGTGAGCCAATTAAGCAAGCTAAGCTCCACATCTCCCCTGGGCATCAGTTTATCACACACGGATGGACAGAGACAGGTGGGGTCTGGCTAACAAGTAAGAATCTGCTTGACATTTTCAACCAGTGACCTGAAGGTCATTAGAGAATTGTGTTCTTACAAATTGAGTGTAGGAAGGTCAGCCCTTTATACACTCAATACAGTGTATTGAGGAATGAGAACATAACAATTATTTGTCTTCATTCCTTCCTAGCATGGCTTATACCAGCAAAGCCCCAGATTCCTTCTGAAGTGCCAGGCAGAAAGGGCTGGGTTATCCTTCTGGAATGCTGGAATATCAATAGTTATAAAAATTTATTTGAACATTTTCTTTGAAGCCTTAGATTCTGGATGGAGAAAGGCCTTTGTTAAAAAAAAAAAAAAAAAAAGGCTTCTCTGGCAGGCTCTAGGGGTATCTTATATTTTAAAAAAAGGTATACCTCACCAAAACGATGAATGAATGTGTTAAAAAGGTTCACCGATGTTCATTTCAGACTCATCTATGCAACGTGGATGCCACTAAACTATAAAGTGGATGCAAGGAAAAAAAGACTAGAGAAAGGCTTATGTGAAAGAATGAATACGGGTCTAGGACAAACCTTGTAATTACCCTTTCAAGTCCCAAGATATTGCTCCATTCCCTGCATGACTTCACATGAGTGGGAAGAGGGACCTTGAACAGTGCACAAAGGCTCGAGGGCAGCTTTGTTCAAAGCCTGCAACTAGGAGCCAAAAAAAGCTGCCAAAGTCACATGGAAGAAGGGATCCTGTTCACATGGCGTTACCCTCTCAAGTATCAGAACACACGGGATCTGAAAATTCTGTCAAGAGCAGAACAGTGGATCAGAATATGCTCAGGTTTTCGGTGGCGGGGTGGGAGTTGGGATGAGAGTAGGGAATGACAGACGGCTTCAGTAACGAGGCACGTCTCACTGAAGTGATGGAACAAAGCCTATCTTCAGAACCTAAGAATTTCGTTTCTCTTCCTCAACTCCTGTCTTAGCTGAATGCATCTCCACTCCCTTCCATGTTCTTGGGTTGTTTTTTCTGTTGACCCCCCATTGAGCAGCTGGGAGCCCCCAACTTGGCTCCAACCTCTGCACTGAGGATGCCCTTCCCAGGCATGGAACATGGGCACAAGTCGTTAAAACAGAACAAAACAATGCATTTGCAGAGAAGATAAAATGATGCGGGTCTTTGCTTTACAGGCAGATCTTTTTTCAGCCCTGAAATTTACTTCTTTTTATGTTACTCTGATGGGAAAGCTACTAGAGATAAGATAAAGGGAAAAAACCCTAACAGTCCAGATTCAAGTCCCTGATGTATCAATTGTGTTGATACTTAATCCCTGGTGTTACTGTGTTGAAACTTAATCTTGCTCATGGCAAAATTTTATTGTATCAACTAGTGTTTTGGTATCTTGTAGAACTGCTTAGAGAGAGAGAGGGAAAGGGCTATGTGCCAGAAACCCAAAGGAAGGCTCACTCATGCAAATCTTTCCCTTCCAGCTGTTTTATCCTAAGACATTTCCTTAGCTGACAGCTTAATAGCAGAGCCAGGGGAAAAAGCATATAAAGGGAGGAAAGACATTCTCATCAAGCTACAGAAGTGACTAAAGAACAATTATATTTCTTCTTCTGCACATAGTTTAAAAAATTTTTTTAAACTCAACATTAAGAATACCAACTAATCTCCCAGGGCACTTATACTGGGCAAAAACAAACAAATAAACAAACAAACAAGGGGGGAGGGAGATACTTAGGATACATGTGGCTTAATACTCTGGCATTTTAACCTTGGTGCTGAAAATAATTCCTATATCCTTTCTGTCTTTAAAGTTGGGGTTACTTAGAATTCCTTGACTTTTCTCTCAGGTCATAATTGCTGCTTTCACTTATACATAAGCTAACTGAGACTTAATGCTCATTCCCATTTATGACCCAGGGCTGTATTACAGAACAGAATGCCTTGATGACATCATCCAAAGGTAACCAAAGTCACCTTAGTATAAAAGCAACTTGCTTTTTGTAGGAATTAGTTACTTACCCATCTGGTCGGCAATGCTATCCTCGCTTCTTTGCCAGCTGGGTGTGGATTTCCCGCTGCCACCAATGTCTGACTGGGTGTTCTGCCTGTCGATGGAGGCTGGGGATCTGCGGCTTATTCCAAACCTGTGGTGATTTCCCCAAAGGCAAAGACAACATCAGGGACCTCACCCATAAGGGAAGGTAGTCCTGGGAGTAATGAACTAAACTCTAACGACAGGTACTACTAGTTTTGCTTACATTTCTGTACTTGCGTACTCACCCTCGTGCATGTGTACAGTGGATGCTGCAACTGTGGATGTTATGGTCAGTATATACCCTCTGTTCAGAAAGGTATGTATGCTAAGTATGTAAACTGTCAACAAGGGCAGGGGCCATTAGGACCGAGCCAACCTAAGAGATATGCAGTAAGAAACCAAATATCTTCTGGCCCTTGAGTAGCTAAGCTCAGACTGTCATTCGCACCCAAAAGAAAAATGTCACCATCCTAGTGTTCCGTTTGTGTCGTCCAACTGGCACATTCCAGGGGTTTCTCTTAACTCGGTTACCTGCTAAATCACTAAGACACTCATTCTTGGAACAAGCATTTTCTGAGGACTTACTCTAAGGTCTGAAAAACAAAGATCGCTATCATTTATATTACATAGGGACCACTTCCAAAATGTATAAATTTTTTGTTTGTTTGTTTTGTTTTTTTGGCAGTACGTGGGCCTCTCACTGTTGTGGCCTTTCCCGTTGCGAAGCACAGGCTTCGGACGCACAGGCTCAGCGGCCCTGGCTCACGGGCCCAGCCGCTCCGCGGCATGTGGGATCTTCCCGGACCGGGGCACGAACCCGTGTCCCCTGCATCCGCAGGCGACTCTCAACCACTGCGCCACCAGGGAAGCCCCAAAATGTATATATTTTAAATCGCCTTTAGGAAGGCAATTTGGAAATAGGTAAACTGGCATATATAAAGGCAAATGTCTATTCCTGGAAAGAATGTTTAGCTATTTAATGAGCCCATTTTAATTTTCCCTGTGTAGACTAACAATATAACATAGGCTTAATTGAAGCATATGCCTTGATTAGTAACATCAGCAAAGGAAATACTGACTGAACCCAGGAAAAAGGGCCAGAGTATAAAATTCAAAGATTCATGTGGAAATTTACAAATCTGAGTGTGGTTACTAATGAATGTATGAGTAATCTACACAATAAAACACAAGAGGGCCTGAATTAACTGATGCATGTGACAGGTGTCTTCTTTGCTACAAATTGATAAATGTGTGGGCAGAACCACCAAGGGGTGCATTGGAAAGAGCAGGCGATTAGGAGGAGGAAGGCTGGGAGCCAAGTTCAGCTTCTCCACCCAGAGTCGTGGCAACTCTTATATGGATCCAGGGAGAAACATCTATATAAAAAGCATTTGGAAAGCAGGGAAACTATAAAATATTTTAGTAAAACTCCTACTACAACATCTCCCTCATTACTTTTTGCACAAATGACTGTCATTTACAAACTTGACTCCTACGCCTCACTAAACAAAGTTACCTCCATTATTAAAAACAAACAAAAACCTTGATTTATGAAAACTTCAGTGAAAGGGCTCATTGAAAACAAAGGATTCACTAATTATGATCTCTGCCACTTCCTCCCTAGGTGGGGTCCTTGTTTAGGTTAGGAGAATGAATATCCTCAAACTGGTCCTATGATCCTATTCTATTTAGTTATCCTATTTAGTTAAATACCTATTTATTAAATAGATTAATTAAATTTAATAATTTAATAGATTTATTAAATCTATTTATTAAATATCCTGTTTAGTTATTTAGTTATGTGCACTAACTAAATTAAGACTTTTCAAAAAGCCACTGAAGGCTTCCCTGGTGGCGCAGTGGTTGAGAGTCCGCCTGCTGATGCAGGGGACACGGGGTGCGGCGGCTCAACATTGATAATCATGATGAAAATGTAAATCAAAACCACAATGAGATATCACCTTACACCTGTCAGAATGGCTATTGTCGAAAACACCACAAATAACAAATGCTGGAGAGGGTGAGGAGAAAAGGGAACCCTAGTACAAAAAAAAAAAAAAAAAAAAAAAAAAAAGCCACAGAGATCAAAGTAAGAAGTGGATCGGAATCTTGCTTTTACTTTTTGGTAGCAGTGGAAACTAAAGACAACTTTTTAAACTTCTGAATTTAAAGTCAAATGCTTTTTTGGCGGTCTGCTTTTAAAGAAATGATAAAGTAAGGCTGCCTTTCAACTATGCCTTGAAAAACATTTTCATCCAATGAATTTTTAATTTCAGTTCTCACACACACTCCTAGTTTACTACATGCCAGGGCATCAGGGCTAGGAAGGTCCCATCCTTGAGGAGCTCAGACAAAACCTGTTCTAATTTGACACCGTGCCTCTTTTTGAAGAGCTTTATTGTCCCTTTGTTTGGAGGAGCACTTAATACTTAAGAGTCACGGTTCAGACTTGAAGGAGTTTTGAAGTAATCATTTGGCGGATACATGAAACGCGTTCAGTGACCAAGAACTTCCACCTCGTAAGACAGTCCATTGCTCTCCAGGGCAGGCTGACAGCTTCGAAATACCTTCCTCATAATGGGCTAGAAACTCCTCCTTTGTAACTTTCACTTATTGAGCTCAGTTGCCCGCAGAGACAAGTTTAATCCCTCAGCTAAGAGTGCTAGGAGAAAGCCACTGCGGCCTCCTTGCCTCCACAATGCCCACCTGCGGGCTGTACATTCGCGGTTACGATTCTTATACCACGACCTCCAACTCCGCATCTGCCCGGTCCATCCTTCCCTCTGCACGTGCCCTGCCTCGTCAACATTCCTCAGAGTATGTGGCCCCAAAACACATCTCAAGGATGGTAGAACAGACCCTATGTCTTTTCATCAGTGTTGCTTTTTAACTCTCTCTCATTCCCATGCTAAACTGGTGCAGGTGCCTCTTCCACCTTCACTCAAGTAGAGCAGGTTTTATTAATCAGCCTGTGAAACTGTGCCTCTCAACTGATTTGGATGGTCTCAACATCCTTACACCAGGGAGCAGGAAGCATACACCACGTACAAGCAGACACTGAGCCCGCTGAAGCACAGGGAGGGCAACAAAGGGGCGGATTACATTTATGGACGGTCAGTGTGTCCGGACCTGTTGTTATTACCTCACACTTTGGAGCTTTTCCAAGTTTAACATTAATGAGTTTGCAGCAGACTCCACACACTCCTGCTTCACTGTCACCCTGTATCTATTTATTTTTACTGGGCTAAGTTAAGGAGTAGATGTAACGATTGTTCCCTTGGTAAGTGTGAACTTTAGGATCAAACCTGGCCCATGAGTAATGCATGTGAATCAGACAGTGAACACCAATGTCTCTTGCATCACTAATACAGACAACAACTGCTTGGGATCTAAAGGAAAACACTGTATCAGTCTCTTCTTGTAAAGTTTCATCCCTGGTAAAACTGATGTTATACAGTATAGCAAATAATTACCAGGTAACCTCAAAAGCAATGGGGAAAACCCTCAATACCACCTATGGCAGGTTTAGTATTAAATATCAAGTCAAATAATTACCACTGCATTAAAAAAAAAATAGTGTATGTAGCACGAACACTGGGAACCATATTCACCAAAAATTCATGTTTCAAATTACATTTTGGCATGCCTTGAGGGTGTATACCAAAATGGACAGAAGAAGCAAACAATGATTTTGTTGTGGTTGTTAGCTCATTTATATTTTATTGCTGTATTAACACTGAAGTTGCAGTGAATTCTTGCTTTTGAAGTCAAACCAGGCCATTTAAAATCTACTAATTAAAACAAGAAATAGCAAGAGGGAAGAGATATGGGGACATATGTATATGTATAGCTGATTCACTTTGTTATAAAGCAGAAACTAACACACCATTGTAAAGCAATTTTACTCCAATAACGATGTTTCAAAAAAAAAGAAATAATTAGTTGGGCTTGTGGTGTGGGATAATAATAATACTTAATTCATAGAACTTCTTGCAGGGGCTCATAAATAAGAGCTAGAATTTTTTTTACTACTTGTCACTGAAGTAATTAAGAAATGTGCATTTCAGATACACTCCCAAGGGAATCCTTGGTGGTAGGGAGGGGAGGGAAGTATATTTTATAGTGGTTTTTGTTATTTACTTTCTGCTAACATAAACATTTAGCAAAAACATGAATAAAATTATACTTAGCTATAAAAACCAACACAATACTATAGGATAAAAAATATCCATTATGAAAGTATTCTCATAAGCATAATTGTTTTGTAATATGGTAAAATCTCAAGACAGTAAACAAATCATGTGCATTTGTTAAAGGTAATTCGGGGAAAACTTGGCATAGAAACATCCTTTTTTTAAACACCCTATTTTTGATTTTCCAGTGGTTTCAAGTTCTTTATCAAGTTCGCCAGAGGTATCCCAGCAGGAAGCTGGTGATGAGCAAAGCCAGCTTATGTGTGTCATGTGATGTTTTGCTGCTAATTACTTCCCAGCTTCAGACATTCCAATTTTTTTACCTTTTAGTAGCCTCCTTAATCATGTACACTTAGCTTTTTACTTTGTGAGTCTGGTCAGAAGCAAACAGATTTCTAAAGCGTGAGAAAAATTACTTTTAGCTTTGGATATGATGAACATTTCCCCTACTTTAACATCAACACAAACTCCACCCAGTGCAAGCAGTATACTACTGAGTTCACTTTGGAGGAAATTTTAAGAAATGGCAAAATCTGTACTATGAAACTAGACAATACATATAATGGAGAAACTGATGTAATTTGATTTATTTGCCATTGAGTCCTTAGAGACTAAAGAATGATAAACTTCCTAAGAAGTGGTTTGAACCAGCCACGAAAACATTTTTTAATCTGGAGTATTAACCATATTTTCGCTTTTGCTCTTTTGTGAACTGATCCAGTCTGGCTGAATGAAAGTTCTTTTACATGTCTGAATTACATATAAGAGACAGCGATGCCAACTCCGGCATACCTACCCTTCGGGCATGGACTTTTGCCTGTAAGTGCTCCCGCCAGAGCCAGTCTCGCTGGATGAAGACAGATTGCTTGGGGAGTTGCGACATGGCTGGGATCTTGCTAAAGCCATGGATGAGACCGTCACATAGATGTCTGAACCAGGAGACAGCCTGTGTGTGCAAACCAAAAACGTGAAGTCAACAATTCAAAGGGAAAATCCCAAGGCAATGCATGATGGGTAACATATAAATGTGACAAACGCAGCCACTTTGTGGAGATAATAAAAATAAAGCCAGCTGGAAGCCCACAAAAGAAATTTCCCCATAAAACTACTCCCTAAGGGGACAGCTGGAAAACTGCCTTGAAGGGGGTGGGGGCGTGAAAAAATAATAGGGGAAAAAAAGAAAACATGTATGTTTCCAAAAGCTGCCAGAATTCAAGGGCTGAATTGCTTATGCAATTTCGTAGTATGGCAGGGCAAAGTATAAATGAGCCCCAGTGACATTAACATGGCAATTAATTCTGATTTTCCCACTGGCTCTCCCAGAGTATATGACCACAGAGAGACCAGTACATTCTTTGTATGCTTCTTTGTTTTCCAATTTTATTACTCAAAGTCTGGAATGAATATTCAGATATTGCTATTTAGTGTGTATACATTTGGTTGATAGTAGCATCACCATATAAAAACTTCCATGGAAACATGCCTAGAACTGCAGTTGTTGAATTTCACTGAAATGACTGAGTTTATATAATAACACAGCAGAGATGTGCTCCACGTAGCCCACAATACATCTCTTTCTAAAATTAGGGATCCCTCACCCTGTGGACTGGCTCGACACAGAAACCAGAGCTTTGGAGTCAGGAGAGACGTGATTTTCTGGCCTCTACCTTCTCCACTCAAATAGGCATTGGGGCAACTCCTGGGATATTAACAAGTGAGCCTGAAGACTGTGACGAGACATCAGCTACATCTTGATAACAATGATATTTTATTTCCGAAGTGAATGCTGGCACACATCACTGGCTCTTGTAGCAGGGCAGGTCATTTCCATTTTATAGCTGAGGGAGAGGAATCAAGGTCACTTTTTCAATAAGCCAGGCTTCTTGATTCTGAGTCCACTGTCCTCTGCCCCCACAGAAGGCTGAGTTTTCTGTGCTTAATAGGACAGTTTGCAAGGGGTCTGCAGGGTCAGACGATTTTGCACATGAAGTCTTACGCTGAAGTGAAAGTTTTGAAGCCTTGGGACTGAACCTGATTCACTGAAACATGGCAGTTTTTTACAGCGAACCTACGTACCTTCTGAAGCAGGGCAGGATGGGGCTTCAGGTACAGAAACTGACAGAAGGCATAATAAAATCATGCCGAGAAGCTTTTCTATCAGAAAAAGAATGAGGACAGGCACCGAAAAATATGACCCTCCCCCCCAAATCCGTCTATGCCCACGTGGCAGATGACTTGGGAGCCCCAGTTCTTTCCTCAGCGACAAACCTGTTATCCTTTCTTTTCTATTAAAACATCTCCCAAACTTCTCACTGCTTATTCTGAAGTACTTGGAAGGGGACTGGAGTGGGGGAAGAATGGGAGTAGGTTACAAAGAAAACGAGGTAAGGATTAAGGAATGGCATGAATCACTCCTTTCTGCTTTAAGAGTTTGGCTTTTAGATGCACCTAATACAGAGAAACTTCAAAAAACAGTTCATTTTGCAGCTGCTTTGATTTTCTTACTGTGAAGAGGAGGAGGTGTTACAGAAAGATGGAAAGAAAGGAGACGGCAGCAGAAATGTGAACGGGGTTGGGGCCAATGCCACGTCTGGGGGCCTGATGACTTTTTAGCTCTCTTTGGGGTAAACAAGTAATAGCCGGCGAATTATATTCACGGTGAATGTTAAAATGTTTTTGCATCTACGAAGAAGTGACAACATGATTCCATAGCCAAAGTCAAGATGTAACTTTTGTATTTATATTGAGCTTGCTTTTCTTACCCTGCTCTCCAAAACGTACATTAAGCTAAAATATCTCATGCTAGTTCTCAGCCTCAGCTCTTTTATTTGGCAAATGTATCAGAAAATTCTATTTGGTTGCTGGAGTAATCCCAAAGTGAAAAAATAGCATTTCCAGAAAGCCAGCATTCATTCCAATGCCTTTTCTGAATTTATATAACTCAATAGTGGCTTTGTTTTCAGGCTGCCCACACACACAGAACACACATACAGCAACTGATGGAAATGCCACCCAAATGTTTTTATGACTCTAGATGTATGTATGGTAGGCAAAAAAAATTTCAGAATTAGCCCTTATTCTGATGACTTACTATTCTTTCCAAATACTCTGAATTTGATACCATCTCACAAATATTATTTGAGAACAGATCTAGGTCAGGGAGTGGAAGGTACCCACCTGCCTGGCACTGGCTGTCTACTTCTGCCAGAGGCTGCGGCTGATCGTTTCTGCAAGTTGGGCTCCTTGCTGTCTTGCCACTTTGAAAAAGAATAACCCCCGCATTGGCTCACACGGGAAGCCAGCATGCTAACCTCTTGAATCTCTGACCTCCCCCCTACTCTACCTTAATGGATCACAAGTCTTTTCTTCTCTTTTGAGATAAACCCAGATCTTTCTACTTTCTCTCAGTCTTAATGAGCCCGGGCATCTGGATGTTAATGCCCAAATAGGTTTATCAGACTAAGATGAATACATCTTTCACTCGCTGTGAGATCTTTCGATTCTGTGGAATATAAGAAATAATCTTCAAGAATGCTATGGTCACCTTCAGAAAGGAAATGTCTAAAAATCTTTTAGCCTTAATTTCAGCAGATTCTCTTCCCTCCATTTTTATCAATTTAGCTGAGAAATAACTAAATGTTTTTAAAGTAACCGATCTTAAATGTTCTCTAGGGCTATGACTTCCCTTTGCAGACATAAAACACCAGGGCTTTTGGACTGTACAAAGAATGCAGCAATTGAAAAAGTCATGATCATCAGCTCGACAGACAATACTCCCATAGTCTGCAGGACTGCACTCAAGTCAGCTTTCCATTTATATGCAGCACATTTCACTGCAATGAAAACAAAGAGTTGAATGGGATGGATTAGGAAGAGATGGCCCAAGATCAATATGAGTTCTTTTTTCCAGAAGCCTCCTCATGTCAGGATAAAAGAGAGAAGAGAAGCGCCAAAAAACCCCCAGATTTCTGATAAAATAGCCCCTGCCCCCCACCATACCCTTCCCATGACTCAATTCACAGAACTAACATTGACAGACTCTTATTAAATTGATCTCTTGAGACTGTGACATCAATTTATGGATAAGGAACTCTCAGCATCTGAGTAATTGATGCTAAATTTTTCTTTCCTGAGTATTTATGTATGGGTTTAATTATGCCTCTGTTTCCTTTTTATTCCAAAGTGACAGCACTGCTTGGATGTGTCCAAGGAGATAAGGCCCTCTATAAACTCAAGTGCAGACAGCGGAATGACGGCAAGAACAACCGAGAGGATTTCAA